GGCTGGGAGCGGGCCCTTCCCCGCGGCCAGCGGCGGGGGCAGGTGGCCCTTTAACTGACGGTGCCGGTCTGTTATCCCCGCTCCTGCAGAACCTGAAGAAGAGCTGGCACCCCCAGACCCTGCGCAATGTGGAGAAGGTGTGGAAAGCCGAGCAGAAACATGAGGCCGAGCGGAAAAAGATCGAAGAGCTGCAGCGGGAGCTGCAGGAGGAGCGAGCACGAGAGGAGATGCAGCGATACGCAGAGGACATGGGCACTGTAAGGTGAGGAGGGGCTGATGCCCCCCCCCCAAATTTGGGGTAACCACCCCGACCATCCTCGGGGGGCTGATGCGGTGGTGTGGGTGCTCTTGGTGCCCCTGATCGAGCCATGGGTTTACGGTCTCTGGTGATAAAATGTTTCCGCTCACTTTCATAAGCCAGTGCCTTAAAATGTAATTTTAGAGCTGTGACAAGGAAAATGAGACGGTCTTGTCTTCAACAGGAAAAGAGAAGAGAAGTTGGAGTGGATGTACCAGGGTCCTGGAGGCATGGTGAACAGAGAGGAATATCTTATGGGTCGCCCTGTGGACAAATACATCTTTGAGAAGACAGAAGACAAGGATGCAGGCTGTTCCAATGAGACAGGGCTTCTCCCAGGCTCCATTTTTGCCAAGACAGGTGCCAATTCTGTCCTAGACATGGCAAACAAAATCCGGGAGGATCCGCTGTTCATGATAAGGTACTAAACGTGGAGCTGAGAGCAGTAGTAGAGGAGGCAGAGCATCAATATTAGTAACTCGCCCAGAGCTGTCTTTATTTCTCTTTGTGAAGACCACTGTTGTGCCTGTTCCTCAAAGCTGGGTCTGCCTGTTTGTGAACTCTGGGCTGTAGGTGGCAGTCCTGGCTGCAGAGTGGTCACTGGCCACTTACGTGACTGGTAGGATTTTGGTTGTGTGTTGTAGACACGGCAACATAATCGCAAATAACATATTTGCGTCAGTTTGCTGCTTTGGGATGATTTTGCTGACTTGATTCCAGATTTAAGATTTTGTCACCTGAACGAGACGATGATCATGAGGTGGAAAAGATATAAATGCAAAGATTTTTATTCTGTATTGATTCATCTCTACCAGCTTAACTCGCCCTTTATGTGAATAAATATATCCAGCCTGCTCTGAGAGCACTGTAGGCAGATTGATGGTAGCAGAGGACGTTTTTATTTACCCTACTAGTGCACTCTTAAGTGGAGAAGAAATGAACACACTCCTAAATTGGATTTACTTTGCTGGATGTACAAAACAAGCCTGTTTTCCTGCTTTATGTTTTTAGAGCTTGCAGTTGATTGGTATCTTTCATGAAAATACGATTCTTTCAGTTGTTTGAAAATGCTAATAATTTTTTTTTCCCTGCTTTAGAAAAAAGGAGGAGGAAAAGAAGAGAGAAGTTCTGAATAATCCTGTTAAAATGAAGAAAATCAAAGAATTGGTAGGTTTATCTCAGTACTCCTTTACAGACTCAAAGCATGGAATACTTTGCACCAAGGGGAGGATTATACATCAAAATTAGTATTGTTTAGGATAGGAAATGGAGTTCTGTTTCCTGATTCTTTCACAGAAAAGCGTAAGTTCAACACTATAAATCCTGAGCAAAGTTTCTTATCAGTCTCACAGCAGGAAGTAATTTCTCTTCCTTTCAAATTCAGTTTTACTCCTCTTGCTCTTTTGGTGTGCTTTTTCTTAGCTGGTGATTAATGGCTGATGTAGCACAACAGGGTGGTTGCAGACATGGGATTTGACATGTACTGATACCAAACTGACACCAGGGAAGGCTCCATTAAGCTCTTTAGTTTTGAGAGACCCTCGTTAAAGGGTTTAGGTTTTGTTCCAGGAGCCTTTCTGTGGAGAACTCTGTTACTTTGTGCTGTGATAGTGACTGCCCAGGTGTAGAGACAGGGATTATTCCTAATGAAACGGTGTCTTGCTTTATAGCTGCAAAACAGTTTAGATAAAAAGGAGAAAAAGAAGAAGAAAGAGAAGAAGAAGAAGCACAAGAAACATCGACATCGCAGCTCTAGCAGTGAAAGTGACAGCAGTGATGAGGAGCGAGGCAAAAATAAGTATGTTTTGAGGTTTTGTAGTAAAACCACCATGTTTTCTGGTTAATTTGTTTTGTTTTCATGTCTTTCTAATACTGTCTGGGTTTTATCTTTCTAATTAATGCTTTTAATTTGCCTAAATGTTTCTACTTAATTGGTTTTGCATCATTAAATTACTTTTATGACATCTTAATGTTAAAAAAATAATTGTCGTCTTGAATTTAATCTGCTTCAGAAGTACTATTCTGTTTTCTCTTTAGGTCTCAGAAGAGGATGAACAGTTCCTCCTGGAAATCTGCTCCTTTCAAAGTCTCAGGATATGGCTTACAAGTAAGTACGTGTGTGTTGCACAGCTCTTCCGGCAGCAAGTGCTCTGAGTGAGGGAAGAACAAGGATTTTGGCAGTTTGCTGTGAGACTGCTTCGCTGGCTGGAAAAGGATGATGCGGGGGGACATGGTGTAATAAAGTTCTTATTCAGTTTGGATTCATCTAAGCCTTGAAAGTAAAGTTGTTCGGATCCTAGTAGGACTTTGGTCTGCTCTGAGTTCTAGTTAAGCTGTAGTTAGTTTCTCTTCAGAGTTACCCATCCGTTCAGATATGCTGCCTGACTGTCTGGGCAGATTAGTTTCACTGAACACGATAAAGAAATAATCTTTTTTTATTCACAGGTGTTGATGAGAAGCTAGGAAATGAGATAAGTTAAATGCAAACCACAACATACGCTCCTTCCTGCGCTTAGCCTAGTCTGAGCTCTCCTCTGTGGCCTTACGTTGTTGTTGTTGTTGTGCTTTTCCAGGAGGTTTGTTCTTTAAAAGACGCTTTTGAATTCCAGGTTAGAGACCCTGACCAGAGCCACAGGTCTCGGAGCTCTCCAGCTGCCGGCCAGGAGAGGGCCCCCCACAAGCACCGGGATCGCTCCAGGTCCAGGAGCCGGTCCCACTCCCCTCAGAGACGCTCTAGCAAGAGGAACTTGGAACAGTCGGGGTGCAGGGGGTCACGATCTCCTTCCAGACACAGTAAACAGTGAGTGTGACTAACCTGGATGGTATAAACCTGGGGCTGCTGGGGGAGGAGTTCGCTAGAATCAAAATCCCCCTTAGTCATCTGTCACTTCAGTCTTCTGACTGCCTTGTTGCTCAGTTCTGGCTGTAAAGACAGGAGCTGTGCAGAAGCACATGGGTTAACTCCCGGAGGGGACACTTGTCTGCAATTGCTCTCTCCATCTGGGAATGTACCCTCCTAGGTACGCCCTTTAGGTACTGTGCCTGTGCTTCATTTGGGCTACTGAGTCTCTTTAAAAGGTATTTATAAATGTTGAATTATCTTTGCTAAATGCTGATAAAATCAGATGCAAAGTATTTATTGTTTGCTAATGAAATAATAAAAGCTGGATAAAAAATAGATGGAAATTTGCAGTGTATTAAGGGTCATTAGGATTTCTTTTCAAAGTGGACAGGTGACAGCCCTGCAGTTACGAGAGATGTCTTGGTTTTTAATGTATACAAAAAACCCGGGGAAAGTTTAGAGGTGTGATTATGTTTGTCTGTCCTAATAAAAGATATTTCTGGGTTACAGACATTGCAATCGGGAGGAGAAGGGCAGAACTAGGAGCCCTTCCCCTAAAAAGAGCTATCGCAGACAGCATACTCCGGGTTACACGAGGTAAGCAAGGTCTCGTTCCTCTGCCTTTGGGTGGAAGCTGCCCTGGTGATTGTGAAACAGCTTGGGTGTCATCCGCGAACCAAATTTTATTCTGTTGGCTAAACCAGATTGGATCGAATGTCTGGAAAGTTGGACAGACGGTCCTAAAGTGCTTGGTTTGGTGCTTTTGAGCTTGACTGTTAGTTAACACCTTGGACAGCTTCCCAAACCAATTCACAGGGTTGCTGGTTCTCCGCGGGTCACGCATCACTATGCAAGGCAGTAATGTGAAGTCACTCTTTGTCCCGTGGACTGTTAATTAGAAGCATTCGGTTTCACTGTCATCAGGAAAATATGACCTTGACAGCATCGTCTTACCAGTCAATTAAAAACAAGAAGGCTGAAAAGAGGGAGAAAACAGGGGTGTGGTAAAGCAGAACATTTAGACATGTACTTACAAGCTCTGCTGATCGGCTACTAAAGAAAAAAACCCTGTTAAACACCCCACCCCTAATTTTGGGGATTGTAAATCATCTTAAAGAATGGAAAGCAAGAGGGGGGGTGGGGCCCAGCATGCTATTGATTCACAGCGCTGCTGTTTTCTGCACAAATAGAAAGATCTCCCCAGAGGAACTAGAGCGTAGACGACAGGAAATGATGGAAAACGCCAAGTGGCGGGAAGAGGAGAGAGCAAACAACCTCAGGAAACACCGAAAGGAGGAGGAGCTGGAGCGAGAACTGGAGAAACTCGACTCCCGAGATGGGAAGTTTTTCAAGTGAGCGTCTTCTGTTATCTGCTTTTTCATTCAAGGGGAATACAGGCCCCAGCTGAGGAGTGAGTGATGGCCTCCACGTTTGAGATGTTTCAGATTATGGTGTGAGATCCATCTCTGCCATGTTTTAGAGTAGAACTAGTGACATCTGCTGTTCCCAAATTCTCTTTTAAACCCCCAAAATAGCTATTTCTGCGATAGCTTTGGTAATCAGACTTGGAAACAGGTAACCAGTTATTTTTTGGCCAACCTGTAGAAGTGACTCCTAGTGTTTTACATCCAGATATTTAAAAGTTCTCTATTTTTAGGAACTTGCAACAGTTTTAGGCCTGTAAGTCTGCTGAGAGTCTGTGTGCCGAGAGCTTGTGAGACTGAAACCTGTGTTCAACATAAATAAGACCATTTCTAAACACAGGTGGTAACTTACAGTCCCTTGTGTGTGTGACAGGCGAAGGAAATTGGAGCAGCACAAGGCCTCCCAGAAAATGCAGTGCTGTGTGAGAAAGATCCTGTGGCAGTGCTACATATTTGGGAGCTGCTGCAGCATAATGTTGTCCATTGTGAATTAAAGAGGAGAACATGTACTTAATTCCTGAAGCTGCCCAGAGCTGGGGGTCATGTAAGAGTGGCTTAAAATCACGATAGATTTTCTCCATGAGCAAAATCTCTTGTGGACAGAGATATTGGTCTGTCTCCCTGTGCGGAAGCAACCGGTTGAGCTAAAAGAACTTTGTGTTTATTGTTTGAAGAGGGAGATGGGCAGGGGGAGATGGTTCAGAAAAGCACAGCAGCGTGATCGGAAGCAGTAAAAGCAAGCGGGTGGTCCCAAGGATCCCTTCTCTCTCCTGTAGCTAACGCAGTTAGCTCTGGCGTTTGGCTCCTGGGGGACCGCTGCCCTCAGTTCAGGAACACGTTGCTTTTCCCTCGTTTGCTTCACAGAAAGCAACCACGTCCCCTGTGACGGATGCATTTGTAATTAACAGTTAGTTATATTTGGAAGACGGAGGAGACTTGAGAGCTACTGAAAGTATATTTGAGCACTGACCTTAAAATAAGGCACTGAATCTGTTACAAGCCAAACTAAAAGGTATTCAGTTCTTTCTGCACAGGCTTTAATGGGGAAAAAAAAAGCTGGTTTCTGTGTTAGATTAATTGAGGCAGATGAGTTGGGGATGGTGAATCCTGCTAGAAGTGGTGTCATATTTGGAAAGAGATTCTCATTTCTCTCGTTTCTTTGGTTCAATTTTCTGCAGTCGCTTAAAACTAGAGAGTGCATCTACTTCCACCCTAGAAGACCGGGTGAAACGCAATATCCACTCCCTTCAGAGAACCCCCGCTGCCTTGGAAAAAAACTTTATGCAGAGATGAAACTTGTTCTTCCTCTGCTCCTGTGCACAAGTTAAATGGACACTTATTCCCAAAGGTGAGAGCCCCCCAGCACAGACTCACTGCTCGCTGCAGGAACGGTTGCTGTCTCCCAAAGAGGCGCTGAATTTCAGTCCTGCAGCGTGTTCTGGACTCCGGGCGTTGTGAATGCATTTGTAATGAGTACAACCTTGCAAGAAAACCTTTGTTGGCGAACTCGTGAGCCTTTGTATTCTATTTTTTAAAGTATTGCCAGATCTTTTCCTTCTCTCTCCACCTTGACTGGTATTTTTGTATATTGTTATTACCAAATTATACCCGGTGGTAACTGCTTTCTACGTTGGGCAGATTGTCCGAGCTCTTTATAGGACAGAGCAAAAGACCTATTTTTGTTAGTCCTTAAAAATCGTAACAGAACAAATTCACATGTGAGTTAATTTCGTAAAGCTACGTGAGTAACAACGCAAAATCCTGTTCGATGCTGTCACCGTTTCAGGTTTGGGTTTGGTCTGAAAAATACCTGTCGCTGTTATTTGATAGCTCACAGGTTTGAATGATGTTTGACCCAAAGGAAGCTGCTTTGAAGGGAAAGGAAATGAGCAGAGCTTGATACAGCAAATATTTCTCTGGGATTTTGTAATGTAAGTCATGTGTATATGTACAGCAGTGGAGTTGGGTATTTTTAAAAAAAAAAAAAATAATTAAGGAACTTTACTCTCATTTTTAAACGTTCTTTGTGGCTTTGGGGGGTGGGAGGGGCCTCCTGTCCAAGGGGAGGTTTTGTGCCCGGCCGTAGCAGCCCCTGGGGGGGTGACCGGGCCCCGCGGGGGCTCCCTGCGCCGCCCCGGCCCCTGTCCTGGCCCTTTAACCGGCGGCCTGTGACGTGTGCGCAGCCCATTCATAATTCCAGGCGCGTCGCTGCTTATTGGCCCGTTCAGAGCGGGGCGTGGCCCAGGCGGTGACGTCACGCCAG